GATGTTTATTTGATTTTATTTTGCAAACCTAGCTCCCCACCAGTTTACGTAGACAAGTAATAACCCAGTAGCGGAGCACGGCTCGCCATTAAAATCCGTACACCGCACTGCAGTTATTCATATAAAGACTCTGCTAACTAAGGCTTTGCATAAGAAGCGGTCAAAAGAATGGTCCGATTCAAACCATTTTCAATAGTTTTGTCTTTGGCCCAAAGCCCATCAGTATGTTAAATTTCACCAAAATCATGGCCTGTAGGTCGACCACAAGGAAACAAGGTGGATGGACAGACGCGCATACAAGTTCAAATAGATTCGGGAAGTAATTCTGATTGAATCGGTATATTAACAAATAGGCCTTCGTCAAGTCGTCTTGGTTGTTGCTTCGTAAATTCGCACAAATTATGCACGGGTTCGTGATTAGTTACATATCTCTATAATAACTTTAAAATTATCTTTTGTTTTTCTTATCAGATGTCAATATCAGATTTTCCAAAATCATATAACAACTAAATCCCACGTTTACTCACACCCACATATATTAATGCGGTAATAATACATTAAGATGCTAAAAGAAAAACACATATACTGCCAAATTTATCATATATAAAATTATCATATATAAAATTATTTGAGCTTGCAAGCGGAGCGCAAAGCATTTGTGTAGAAGAATTAGAGCGAAGAAGAATTCGGGGCAGAGTTTAGATGCCCATCCAAATTCGTTAAATTTCTATTCCTTACTAAAGCAATGGTAAAGGACGTAAGGACAACTTTTCCTTTGAACTTTTCGCAAATATTCTTAGATAACTTATTTAGCTTAAGTAACTTTGTGTCTTAAACATTGCTAAGACTCTTTATAATCCCCTTATATTGAAGATCTGCAAGCCGATTTTGAGATTGCGTCTCAACGTTACGTACCGTGAAACTTCAGGAAAAGACCAGAAAACATTCTGGTTGAGTTCCTCTGGCAAGGATTGCATAACTACCTGTACACGCAATAAAGTTGTATAAAACTAGGACTAAGTAGTGTTAAGGTTCACTGCAATGCGTTGCGTGCGTATATAAGTTTTTAGCTAACTTTCGTTGGATCTCTGAAATTATTTAACTGATTTTTCAACTTAACCTGGTGACAGCGTAAAGAAAAAACAATAAAATATTTTTTTTTCTTCTAGACAACGGACAGACAAATACAGAGACATAACTAAACCAAAATTTTTAATAACACTATACAACAGCAATAATAGCCAAACACCCACACATATTTTCACGCGATATATACGACCGGCAAATCTAATATATTCTCGGCACAGAGTATTTACATTATATAATCCATATAAGCAATTAGGACAACGACCTCTTACATACAATGCATATAACAATATTGAGACAATTACAAGCGCAATAAAAAAAGGTCATCAGTGCGTATGATTGGCATAACAATAATAAAAAAACGGAATATTGTTTATTGATTTCAACTCGGTAAGGTAAAAAGATAACAGGTAGAGGAGGACGGGGAGGAGGAGGAGGAGGAGAAAGACTAGAACGATATTAAATAATAACAAACAAAAAAATTAATTATTTAACCAAAGGCGCCACTTAGTCTTTCAACTCAGTGATTTATTTTATATAAAGAAGTGCAAAAATTACATAATTCTCTAAAAAATATAAAAGTGAAATATAAAAAACACACAAATTGGATATAAGTATGAAAAAAAAAGGAAAACAAAAATATTTACACACACGTAAATATTTGTACATACGCGCGCGCGCGTGTTTGTGTGTGTGTGTATATGTATGTATGTTTATACCGAAAACAGGTACACATTGATAAAAACAAACGCATAGACTAGAGAAAAACATATATTAAAAATGAAATAAAAGAAGAAAAAACAAAAAATACGACATAAAACTATTTTTAACTGACTGAAAACTAACAGGAACTACAAAAACAATAATAATAGCAACGACAAACGAGTTCCAGGAAGTATATGTGTATTTGCAGAAGGTACAGCAACCTTCCGCTCCTTTTTGCGCTCTCTAAAAGCATACTCATGCTCTCTTAAAGACTTCTAAGCTCATATCTATATATATATATATATATATATATATTTATATATGCATGTATGAATACATGTAATACATGTACATATATAAATATGTCAATAATTACATACACACGAATGTATACGCTCTTATATATATATATATATGTATTTGTTTATATACATGTTTATAATAATAGCATAAAAAAAACGTAATAAACATCATCAGCACAACATCTAACAACCTAGTACTAGCAGTACTCTGGCTATGACTATGACTAAGTATAGCTATCTTAGTAAAGATATAACTACGTATGTGCATTTGTTTCCCTCAGATGCACACACAAACATATATATATATATATATATATATATATATATATATCTTCATATTCGTCTTAGAGCGCAAAGTATTTATTTATTCACAAGATACTAACACATTTTCTTTTTCTTCACTAGTGCAGCACGTTTTTTAATCATTTATGTAAAACCGTTTTTTCCTTAAAATTACGAACACAGTGTTGACAGTCGAGGGTGATGTCCGTTCCGCCAAACCAATAAATATATCGGTGTCAAAATACGATTAGAATCGGTGTATATAATATATTTTCTAGCCCAACAAATGATAAATTAAAAGTAAGTCAACCACCAGGCGAACAACGTTTAGTTAAATTGCATTGACTGGCCTTTCATTTAGTCAAATTATTGTTTCCACAGTGATGGCTGCTGTTTATTTACAAAATAAAAGTAAAATTTATCCTGCCATTCCCGATCTTTGCCGCCTACTTCAAGAGTCAAATAGAAGGCATAGTGCTAAGAAGCTTAAGATTTCGTTCAGTTATAAAAATTGCCTAGAGAGCCTAGAGGTTAAATTTTAAGGTAACTTAAGAAACGTCACAAAGCTGAGCCCATCGCCCCATTAACCGATGAACTTCAGATACAGAACTTTTAATAGGTACAAATTGCGCATTTTAAAGCAGATAACTAAGACAGATTAAGCATTTGATTGTTTTTATCGAACAAGAGGCCAACGCAAAGGCTGCAAAGTTCGATGCTAAGGCCGAGGAGGAGTTCAGGAAAAAAAGAAATAAATTGAATTGCAAAAAAAAAAAGAAGAAAATGCAGTCATCCAATATGCTTAGGCAAGTCCGTTTAGATGCTCTTAAAGTGCTCAAGGATTATATAGCTAATGTTTTAGAAGAAGAATGTAAGGGACTCGGTGAAATTACCAAAAGCTAAAGGGGAATATAATCAAGTCTTGGAGAAGTTCATTTTACAAGTCGTGTTTCAAACGATGGAGCAAAGTGCCATCCTACGTTCACGTCAGGCAGATGTCGATCTATTTAAAGAAATCTTGCCATCTGTCATTAATAATTACCAGGAAATTATAGGAGATGATATCGAAATTGCCTTTGACAGGGAAAATCATTTATCTTCCACTTCATGTACTGGCATTGAAGTAATTGCTTTAAGTTCCAGAAATACGTAAAGCTCTGTTTGGTTGTAATGTCAATCGCAAATTTGTCGATTAAATATCGCGTTTACTTGTTTACTTTTGTTAAATTCATTTTCTTCATTTATTTAAAATTTTATTTTGAAAAATTAAAAAAAGAAAAATAAATAATGAGGAAATATTTGTCATCATGTTGTCATAAGTAAATGCAAATAATTAAAAGCAAAATCGGAAAACTATAAAAAATTCAACTCAAAATTATATCCAAAACTTATTCCAAAATTTAGAATTTTTTATTTACTCATATTGCTCGTATTCAAGCAGTATGTTAAACGTAAGTGGCAAAGTTGTGGGATAATCATTCTCTGGCATCATTAGAGAAGACTAACTCCAAAACTCAATTTTTTACTAAAGGAATGACATTTGCTTAGAATAGGCGACATAGGCGCTGGGATAGAAATGAGTTTTGTAACGTCCAAGATCTTCATAGCCACTACTTGACATGTATTCAAATCAGCTAATACTAATAATTTATCATAATTTATCCCCTCATGATGAGATGTTATTCAATAATCAAATACTTCAACGTCCGACGGAAATAAGAACCGAAAAAGTTTCTTTAGCTTAGTTTGTAAGCAAATAAGCGCAACATCCTAAGGGAGGGAAAACTCTTCAGAACTATTGCTAGGCACTAATAACTCTGGCTCAGTTTTGATGCAGTTTATGAGTAATGATCATAAGATCAATTTTTTATACCCTTTGAAAAACAGAAGTGTACTCAGATTATGTAATACTAGAGGTGTGTCCATCGATGATTTGGCCCGTTTTCAATAACTACATGCGGGCAAGAATTTTTCATATTTCTGTCAAACTTTACGTCTGTTGCTTAATTTTTGAGGCCAGGAGAATGTTTACAATAGACATTACACAGATGGTCAGACAGACAGACAGACAGACAGACAGACAGACAGACAGACAGATAGACGGATATGTTTAAATCGATTCAAAATTTAATGCTAATCAAAAATATATATATTTTGTGGAACCGCTAAAACTTTGTTCTCGGCGTTGCAAACATTTTGACAAAATGAATATATCCCTCATCTTTCGGTGATGAGCAAAAAAAGGAAACTCGAACTGATGAGTGATTGAACGTAGGGGTGCAAAAAATAAATCTAAGATGAAGGAAGAGATCTTTCCAAATTACCAAAATAAAAACTCTTTAGTTAATATTATAGTTGACCTACTCCGATACAATGCCGCGCCAACTCAACTATAATTTTGGCAGGCAAAGTTTTACTATTAAGCATTTACCTTTTGATAAGTCAAGAAAAATTATTCAAGTGCGTTGCAAACGCACTCACACAAATATTTGTTCGACCAATTGTCGCTACTGTTGTTTTTAAACTTAAACCGAATTGCAGCCATAGAATTTTGTGTTTGTTTCTTTGTTGTTGTTGTTGTTGTTGTTTATCCACATCAAGACAAATTGTAAATTTTATTATTTATTAATAAATGTGTCCCGATTCATTATCTTTCGTTTTAATTATATTTTTTTAGAATGTCCTACGGCTATGGATGGCATGGAACGTTTCGCATGTCCGACACCGGACGTGCAGGGTCGATACCGCTGCATAGACGATCATGTGCTATGTGATGGTTTTATCGATTGTCCTGAAGGTGAAGATGAAGATCGACGATCATGTATGTTTTACAAAACGGTAAGTGTTCTTTCTCCAACAACTTTAAAATATATTCACTTATTGATTATCGGTTTGCAAAAGAGAAGAACACCTTGCCCCGATCGAAATCAGTTCAGTTTTATTATGATCATCTTACATTCTTAAGAGATAGCTCTTATCGGAATAAACTAAGGTTACGTTCGACTTCAAAATACTCTTTCATCAATCACTTGTCACTTTAACAACCCTGCTTAACCCTAATTCGTACAAGTGCTTATAACGAGTCATACAAGCATCTGACCCTCTCCCACTTACAAGAATCCTGGAGATAATTAATGTGCTATAGTATAAATTTATTTATCTATCCAAAGAAGCTGTACATGAACGTAGACTACTTTCCGTTTTCCTTAAAAAGTGTATAAAAATACAAAAACCCTCAAAAGATAAGAAACAATTGTCTGTTCATACAAGTTATGTATAACTCCATACATAGCTCATAAAACAATTATCGATAGTAATGCCGGTATTACTATGCTTAAATAGTATGCACCGTGCCTCAACATATCTCTGTCGCGAGTTTTGACGTCGATTGACACCTTTCTGATTGTGAGCCTGTGGAACTCAGATTTTGAATTTCTTCTGTACTTAAAGTGAAATAAGCTCAATTAACGAAATGGTTTATCGATAGCTAATGTAGTTAATGTAATTCAATGTAACTCAATGTAACCAATCGTATGTTACTTCTTTGAATTGAAGCTGAACACTTGAGTATCCGTTATAAAACCTCACCTTACGTCATCCGATGGTACACTGGTTAATTGCGCCAGTGCAATGTAACCGATGCTCTCCCTGTAAACTAGGGGCCTCACTGCAGCTGGAGTATCAGATTTATTTATTGTGTGTGGCCCAATAAACTCACTCTGGGGGATGTTGACGCCTATTATTATCTCAAATTATTGGTTTTAGGAATGATAAAAACTACAGCTACCATGATACTCCCCGAAGAGACATATCCCGCAGTCATTACTTCCCACCACAATTACAGGAGTGCGTTGCTAAGAACTTCCTGTCCGTAGCGGTAGATAGCAAGTCTTTAGATTTATGTTACGCGACATAGTCACTCTTGCCTTTCGACCAATATACAATGCCAGCTAGCCGTTACCGAACAACACCTTCTTTAAGTTATATTTGCATCGGGTGCTGCATCTGTCATGGTGGGCTTCATGCTTTCGGCAATAGTCTACGAGAATGTGCTCAAAGCAAAGTTTCTTCCAGTGTACATCTAAGCTTTCTATCAGAGAGCTTGTCGTCAAATTATAGATAGTCCAAGTCTTACACTTTTGCTCGTCGAACAAAGAACGTTAGCAGGGTCAACATCGAGGTAGTGGGAGTTTCAGCATATCTATGCTCCCCGACAAGCATAGTTTATCCCCTCAAGCTGAAGAAATATATAGATCGATGTACTCTTCCTCTTTCTATCCAACTTTTCGATAGTAGTCCCTTTTCTTCCTTTCATTTACTTAGCGAAAGAGTTTGCCTGAACTTTTTTCCCCATCACTGCTGCTCACTCTGCGCCTATTTGTGCACTTTTAACCAACTGGATAATTGTGTCAATAATTTGCAATCTTCTAACACAAATTTCATGTTAATGTCTAAAATATGTTTATAATATGTTTATAAACTTATATTATCATTTAGCCTTATGTTATTTTTTATAACTTATGCTTGTTAAGCGCTTTAAAGTTTTAAGAATAAAAACCATCTTTTCTTACTTACTGCTCTTTTTTTTTAGACGAAAGCTCACTTGGATGTGTTAGCGGATGCTTTGTTAAGATGGGCGCGAGGGCGTTAAATTCTCACCTTCCCAGCTTCTGGTTAAGCGTAACAAAAAAGTAAAAAAATTAAAAAAAGAAAAAATGAGAAATGACATAAAAAGAGAAAAAAAAAAAAAAACGTGGAGAAGCTGTTACCGTAATTCCATTCCAGAGTTACAACAAAATCCAAATTATTTTTGTTGTAAATCAAATGTAAAAAGTAAATCCATATATATATATATATATATATATATATATAAATAAAATAAAGCCCAAGAAAAAAAAGAAAAAAAAAAAAAGCAAAGAATATTTCCCCAGCTAAAGAAGAAGACGAAGAATGAAAAAACTTGAAGAAATCAAGAAAAGATCAATAATAAATGGACTTTAGGTAAAACTTAGTAAGTATACGGACATGTATGTAAAATGAAACTAAGAAAACAAAAACCAAAAACGGACACTGTGCACTTACAAGAATAACAAAAACAAAAGTAAATAAACTATTATGCAGAATACGTATTAATTATGATTGTAATTATTATTATTATTAATTATTATTAATGCAATTTAGTTTTTTTTTTTTATTATATTTTTATTATTATTGTTGTAAATACTATTATCAAAATAACTTATAGGCCTAAAAATTTGTATGTATTGTATTGTTCATTATAAAATTTTCTCTTCAAAATATTTGAATAAAATCGAAAATTCTTCAAATTCTGAATACTTGCTACATTTTTACCTTTTGCTTTTTTTTTTTTTTTTTTGGTTTTAAATCACTCTCTTTCTTATTCTTTTCCTTTAACCTTTTCTTTTCTTTGGGTGTTTTTTTGTGTTTTTTTTTTTTTTTTTTGTTTTGCTTTTGATCAACACGCTCATGCTTTAGAGAAAAGCCAAAATACTAAAATTATATAACGAGTTATTATTATTTATATATATATATACATATATATATATATATGTGTGTATATTTTAATTGAATTTATTACGATCGTATTGAAAATTTATTCCAAAATAATGTCAAATAATGTTAATTTAATTATATACATAAATATTATGTATATATATATATACATATATGTATGTATATATGTATATAGATATATATATATATATACATCTCCATCAAAAATACATATACAATTTATTATATACCTAAACTAAAAATGGCATAAAGAATAACAAAAAAAAATCTATAAAACACCTACATATATGTATACATATATATATATATATATATATATAAGAGACTAACAAAAAGAATGACTCATTTAATCAAAACTTTAATTAATTTTATATTTGTTATGAAAACCAATTAGCAATAATCCCACTAAATAGTTTTATTTTTTGAAAATGCCTTTCTACCTTACATGCATATATGCATATAGGCAAATGTACATTTATGTCCGTGTGTTTGTATCTACGCGTGCATGTGTGTGTATGTATGTGTATGTGTGTGTGTGTGTGTGTTTGTGTTTGTGTTTGTGTGTATTCGAAATTTTCCTCTTTTTTTTTCTCTCATTAACTTTTCATATCCTTTTCCAATGCTTGGGTTGTTCTCTTAAAACCGTTTCCTACTTTCGATTCGTTTTGCCAAAATATGTTTCATTTCCATTTCCGATTTGAATTTCCGCAAAGAAATTCTTAATTTTGCTGAATTTAAGAAAACATATTAAAATTATGTTTTTTTGGTGAAACAAAAATTTACAAAAAATACCAAAAGCTTTTAAAGCATTGGTAATAACGAGGATGACAATTCAAGTTTAATTGAGAAAATATTCTTCAAACTTTACATAAAGAGCAGGCGAAAGTTAGATAGCAATTATTCAATTTTAGAATGTGATTAGAGTTTATTTCCAAAAAAAAAAAAGAAGAAAACAAAAGCTTGAATTTAATTAAAATTCAAATAACTTTAGTACGACCCTTGGGTCTAACAGGCAGCTATTCAGCTAACTTTCAGTTATTGTGGTGCCTTAATATGCGAATAACTCTGATTGTGGTGGTATTTTATAAAATTTTTTGGAAAATTTTAAAAATACAAATCAAACAAATTTTAAACATTACAATGAAAAACTTAAAAACTAATAAAATTGAAAGTGCAATATGATAATAAATGCCCTGCACAACTTCCCATCCGGTAGGTATTAATTCTTTACCACTATTTGTTCTCTACGAACGCGGACTACTTTTTGTCAATCTATATAATTTTTTTTTTTTTTAAACAAATAACCTCTGTCTTCACGACTTGAGATATATTTATATTCTATATATATAAACTTTCTAAAGTCATTATGATGGAATAAATCCTTTTCTAAACCGTAATGACGATAGTTTTGGTAATAACGCTGAAAAGAGGCGTATAGTTCCAAGCTGGTAACTCATTAACAGGTACATTCTGTACGAAGAGATTTCGATGAATACATTCGGGACGTGTTGTTATTCATTGATTTCAATCTAAGGACTATACTCCAAAGTTCACTAGGTCACTCCTGCAAATTTTCTCGGTTTTTTCGTTAGTTGATGTGGATGAGCTGCATCTGAGGATGAGAAGACGACGATGTGGTCTCCTGACCTTCTGATGTTCTCTGTGTTGGGAATAGGACGTGAACTTAAACTAGCGCTTAGTCGTAATTTCACCACACAGATGCACAGACGGACGGACATGGTTAAATCAACTTTACTTTGAAGAGTGACTGAACCTTCCTCTTGGGTTTTACATACACTATGAAAGCAAGTATACCCTCATACTCTCTTACAGTGATGGGTATAATAAGTACGTTTCGTTACACCGGACTTTAGAAGATATTGCGGATGTAAAAATTCAACAATTAATTTATTTGCATTTCTTTAATTTTTTTTGCACGGTATAAGAACTATTCAGAGGAAAGAGCACAAATATATTTCATTTAGATGTATTTCAGAGTCTATAAAGTAAAATTGTGCTTGATCGTGATATAATCATTTTTACATACATAGCAACGTTTCCGGTTTTTTGACTTTTCAATTTAAATTATACTCAATAACACTAACACTAACTTTGGCCTGATTGGTCTATGATGCACTGACTTAATCAGTCCAGTTCATCTTGATTTGCTATTTAGCTAAACTTTAATAATTTATTGAGACGATTTTTACGATACCCCTAGTGATTGACTCAGGCTCGAATGTGTCCGAGTGCATTGCATCGAAACGTGCTAAATATATATTTCACAATAGATATTATGTGGGATTTTTTTCAAATTAGTCATATGAAATCATTTGAAAGAGTATAAGATGTAATAAGATGTAAGTGTGTTGCTTCTCTCAAAGACATAAAACAAATTGACTGCTGACATAGGCAATGTATGCTATGTTAAAGCAACTTTGACATGAAACTATTTGAATTCTCCAGTGGCATTTAAAAATGTTCCAAGTTTACAAGTCCCAAAGAAAGAAAACGATACGAGGACGATTTTTTATACTTGCAATGAGATGTGAGATGGGGTTTAAGAAGAAGGTTAGCCTAACACATTGTGGTATTCTACTAAGTGTCTAAAATTTCCAAGGACAATATTCGAATTGTTGTTGTTAAACTTAATTGAGTGCAGCATTCCGCTAATCTATTGTGACGTGTTAGGTGTTTTTAAGGAGAATTCAATTTTTTTTCTTCATTTTTTTTTACCTTAATTGAATGCAGTATTCACTTAATATATTCACACGTTTGACATCTCTTAATGAACAAATTTTAAATTTTGCTTTTATCTTAATTGAGTGCAGTACTTTATTAAAATATTATTCAAGTTTTAAGTTTTTAATAGAAAAAATTTCAAGTGTTATTCCGTTTTCTTCTTCTTCGTTTTTTTTTTTTTCACCGAACTCTCACAATTTACGAATTTTACATAAGAATTTTTGCTTTTCACCTTGTAAATATTATGTCCTTTTTTTTATAATTTAAAAAAGAATTTTTCTTTTATTTTTGTCAATGATTTTTTTTTTTTTTTTTTTTTTTTTTATAAGAAACAATTCTCATGGATATGGCAGCTATTTGTAGATAAGTGAAAATTTATTTAAATTTTTTAATAAAATATTTTTAACAATATAGATATATGCATGTATGTATGTATGTATATGTATATATGTACATATACATAAATTTATATTTAAATAAAATAAAATAAAAAAAAACTTAAAAAGAAAGCAAAAAAAAAAGAAAATACAAAAAGAACTGTCAATAAAAGTAATAAATTACATATATATATATATACATATAACAAAAAACAAAACGCAAACGCATAAATTATTATTTATAATATTTAAAGGTAATAAAAATAATAGATAATAAATTTATAAATATATAAAAATAAATTAAATAAATAAACATATTTAAAGCAAAAAAAAAAATATATATATATAAAACCTAAGAAACATGTAATAAAATTATAAACAATAAAATATTTATAATCTTTGTTTAAGCAAATATTTAGAAAAAAACAAAACAACAAAATTAACTAATTTCTTCACCTTTCTCTTTCTATTACTTAATATATATTTTTTTCTATTTTCTTTTTTCGCAAAAACGCAAAAATTTTCGATTCAGTCTAAACACACCAATCGTCTTAATATATAACTTTCATTAGTTAATATTGAAAATCATGCAATCCCATAACTAATTCAGGCATAATAATTCAATTGAAAAATAATTTTTATTCATTCAACTACAAAATACAATCAATACAAAAGAAAATCGAAAACGATCCATATTTAATACGATAAAAATCAAATGAAAAAAAAAAAATATATATATATAAAACTAAACGGTTGTGGTTTTTAAAATTTATTTAACATTCTTCCGGTTAAGAGAACCTAAAAATTTCGCCCTTGAGTTTTTTAATCTTTTATTTAAAAAAAAAAAAAAAAAATATTTCACAATATTCGTAAATATGTCTGCTTTTATTGGAGAAATTAACTATCTTCGTTTTATGCTTATTATTATTTATTATTTTGATGCCCGCCACCGAACCATTAAAACATATGAAGTTTTCCATACCCGTTGATAATAACTCGTAATAACTAATTAATATAAGAAATCTCGCTCCCTTTGATCTCCGTGAGATTCCGTGAATTGTTTTAGCTGCGATCGATAGTCCATTCATTCTTCTGTGCTCTTGAAATTGGAATGCCTAGCAGCTTAGCAGGGATAAATTGCTTACAAACAACAACAAGAATAGGTACAAAAGCATTGCTTAGTCTAAGAGCAAAAA